AGATACCTCAGTATCCTATGCAAAGCCTTCAAATGAACTGTTGTTGGACAATCCTGGAACTGACACAGCTGCTGGACAGAAAAACAAACGTCTGACCTTGTTGATGTTAAGTACTGCAACTGTCCAAGAATGTGTCTGAAACCAGTAATATCCTCCAATGGAGTACCATCAGAGGCTGATAAAGAAGTTTTCATACTGATAGGAGTTCTGGCAGGCTTGCATTCAAGGAATCAGCATGTTCAATCATCTCCAAACAGAACTTCCTTTGAGTCAATGAGATCCCTTTAGGTGTCCTGACAATTTCCAAACCTAGGAAGTACTTTAGATTGCCTAGGTCTTTCACCTTGAAACCTGACTGCAGTTGCTTCTTTACTGCTTCAATATCATCCAAACATGGACCAGCAAGGATGATATCATCCACATACACAACCAAAATGACACTACCACTCTTAAACACTAAATAATCTTCAAAAGATTGAACAAAACGAATCTGAGTAAGGAACTCAGTCAGCTTGATGTACCACTGTCTGCTGGCCTGTTTTAACCCATATAGGGATTTCTTTAGCTTGCATACCTTACCTTGCATGTGACTTAGCTCTCTCAACCCAGGGGGAAGCTCCATATCGATCTCCTCCTCTAAGTCACCATGTAGGAAGGCATTACTGACATCCATCTGATGTAAGTGCCAGGATTTAATAGAAGCAACTGCTAGAAGAAGTTTAACAGAAGCCATCTTGGCAACAGGTGAAAATGTATCCACATAATCATGTCCAAATATTTGTGTATAACCCTTGGCAACCACCCTAGCTTTAAACTTATCAATGTGTCCATTGGACAGAAACTTGGTCTTGTAGACCCATTTACTTCCAATAGGTTTGATTCCTGGAGGCCTGTCAACTATCTCCCATGTTTGATTTGCATCAAGAGGCTGAACCTCCTCTGTCATTGCCTTTTGCCAACAAGCATGAGGAGCTGCTTGGTGATAAGTTTGAGGATCAGGGGGGAGAGAAAGAGAAAGAGCAAAAGCTCTGTGGCTAGGAGATAAATGAGAGTAGGAAATGGTGGTTGCAAGGGGATAAAGTAACTGTGAATCAAAGCTACTAGAAGTTGAGGTAAGAAAGGAAGTATGGAAATCTGCAAGTGAGCAGGTTTCTTAAGAGTTCTAGCTTGCCTCCTCAAAGGAATGGGAAGTGATCCTGAAGAAGGAGGATCAAGAGAGGAACTTTGTGGAGCAGAAGAAGGAGTAGAAAAAGGAGTAGAAGGTGGAGAAGAGAAGGGAGAACCTGATCCTGATCCAGTTGGAGAGGCTGGAATGTAGTCAGGATCAGTAGATTCATGTATGTTGTGATATGAGGGGAGTAAAGAAGAAAAGTCTTCTGTGTATGGGAAGGAGGGTTGGCCTGACAAGTTGGGAGCAGTAGGTGAAGAAGAAGGTGTATTCTGATGAGAAAGGAAAGGGAATTCAGTCTCATTAAACTGAACATCTCTACTAGTGAAGACCTGATTTTTGTCAATATCATATAGTTTGTACCCCTTAATCCCAAAACTGTACCCTAGGAAAACTGCTTTGATAGCTCTAGGGGAAAATTTTGGTTTATGTGGGTCAACAACTGTGGCAAAGGCAAGACATCCAAACACCCTTAAACTGCTATAATCAGGGGGTACTCTATACAAACACTCAAATGGAGATTTGTTGTCCAAAACAGGTGTTGGAATTCGATTGATCAAATAAGCAGCATGAAGAACTAAATGACTCCAAAAACTCTTTGACAATCCAGAGTGAAATTTGAGTGACCTTGCCACATTCAGCAGATGCTGATGTTTCCTTTCCACTCTCCCATTCTGCTGAGCTGTATAAACACAGCTCATTTCATGCACAATCCCTTCCTGCTGATAAAAATCAGCCATGTTGAACTCCTGACCTTGGTCAGTTCTAATGACCTTAACCTGTTTCTCAAACTGGGTTTTAACCATTGCACAGAAAGCTTGTAAAGATGAACGAGCTTGAGACTTAGAACTTAGTAAATAGAGCCAAGTACAAAGACTATGGTCATCCACAACAGTTAGAAAATACTGATAACCATCATGTGAGACAATATCCACAGGACCCCAAAGATCTGCATGTATCAAATCAAACACAGAACTTGACCTAGATGAACTTCTAGGAAATGGTAAACGTTTCTGCTTTGCCAAATGAAAAATCTCACAATCAAAACTCACTGGTGTTCTAATCTCTTTACAAATTTTGTTCACTGCTTGTAGCCTAGGTAAAGAAAGGTGCCCTAATCTTTGATGCCATAAACTGGAGCTGGAACAGGTGCTGGTGTTCACTCCAAGAACTTGGGGTTTGCAAGCCTCTCCAGGATGATTCTCTCCAAGAAGATACATGCCTCTATTTACTGGGATTAAACCAATCCTCTGTTGAGATATGAGGTCCTGTATATGACAAAAGGTGGATTGAAATAAGAGTGAGACTGGGTTGTTTTTGGTAAGTTGGCTAACTGAGATTAAGTTGTAAGAAAAGGATGGCACCAAAAGAACATTAGTCAACAGAATACCACAAGGAAGTTTCACTATTCCTATATGAGTGGCTGAGGCTTGATGGCCATTAGGAAGATTTACAAACATCTTCTCAATCTGTCTACACCTTAAGAAATGTTTAATGGAGCAAATAATGTGGTCACTAGCTCCTGTATCTAAAACCCAGAACACATCACCAACAGATGACTTAAGGGTTGATAGTGCAGTAATACCTATCATTGAAGTGCTGGCTTTGGTTAAGACAGAATTGGCTTGACTGGTGTTGTGGCCAGGGGAGGACTGAAGAAGTGCCTTAAGCCTTGTTAGCTCTTCAAAGGTGAAGCCTGAGAAGGTTGGAGACCCTGAGTCTTGCTGACTGGCTGGGCTGGTAGGTCTGTAGTTGTTACCTCCTCCTGAAGTGTCCATGTCTGGTGCATTGACATCTACAGATCCAGCAAAACCTCTTCCTCTTCCTGAGTTACCAGAAGGGTGAGGATTGTTTCCCAACAACCCATTTTTCTTCTTGAGTTTCCAGCAATCCTCCTTAACGTGGTTGTCCTTCTTACAGTAACGACAGAACAACCCAGTTTGCTGACCATAATCACCTTGACCCTTGTCTCTAAGCTGATTAAATTGGGTTCTAGAAGCTGCAAGAGCTGTTGCAAGAGCAATAGCCTCTTCTGATTTACCAGCATTAACCTTAGCACCATTAAGCTGCCTCTCCAGCTGAACAACAGAACGATAAACACTATCCAGATCTGGAAATGGATCAAGCATTAGCATTTGAGTCTTGACCTGCTGATATTTTTCATTCAATCCAAGTAAAAACCTAATAACCCTTCCTCGATCCTGATAACCCATAACAGTCTCATACGTGCGCGAGGCACAATCACAGTAAGGAATAAGAAGGTAGTTATCCAATTCATCCCAACACAGCTTCAGATTTGTGTGATACTCACGAATAGATTCATTTCCTTGCTTGACCAAGTCAATTTTCTCCTGCAAGTTTGCAATAAGAACAGAATCCCCTTGACTGAACATGTCTTTCAAGTAGGTCCAGGCCTCAGATGCAACCTTGATATTCCTAAGACTAGGAACAATGTTCTCAGACACAGAGTTTCTAATCCAACAAACCACAGTACCATTCACACGATCCCAGGTCCCATAGCTTGGATCAGTAACAGGAGGTACCTCGATTGTGCCTGCGATGAACCCTAGCTTGTTCTTCGTTCTGAGCGCAACTTCCATGGACTCGCTCCAAAGAAGGTAGTTGTCATCTGTCAACTTGAAGCTGATGACAGGAAGAAAGGAATTGTCACTCTGAGCAAGGTAAAATGGGTTTGCATAAGGATCCTCGTAGCGTGGCGACGAGATCTCCTTATCCTTGTTGTATTTCTCACTGGAAGTTCCGTCGGCCATGGTGTCTCAGAGAAACATAGATGAAGGTGAAAAGAAAGTGAAAATGCGAGATGGGTAAGAAGAATCAGACTGGTTTTAGCCAACCAGGCTCTGATACCATGAGAATGTTTATGACCTAGCAATGGAAAGAGCTAGGGTTTGTGCAAAAGAGAGAAGCCGAGGTTGTGTGAATCGGCGGAATGCCTTTTTCCATTGGATTGTAGAGTATATATACAGCAAGCTAATTACAGGGAAAAGAGTAAAGTTGTACAACCTAAACGGCTAATTAAAACAAACAATCAAAATGGACCTATACAGAGATGCCAAGTGGCTAACTACAGTAACTAAGTAACGGCCACTACTTGAGAACAGAACGACGTCGTTGGTCTCTTTATTTATCTGCTGAGATTCCTTAACCCAGCCGAGTGAAAGGAAGCTCGACCCGGTTGACTCGTCCTCTGCATCCTGTGACAGCTGCAAGCTTCTGTTGCTTCTTCATCAATGGAGATCATCACTTGCAGCTGTGCTTCATTATTTTTGTACAAAAACACGCCAATATCACTATAGGCTAATTGTGAATCGCGGATTTGTTTATAGCGCGACCGTGGATCTAAGCTTGCTAGATGTGAATAGCGGATTCGTTGCAGGAGACTGTTGCACCTATATGACAATATATTCACTACTAAGATAACATTTCATCTTAACAGGAAATCCACGATGTTCATAAGCATATCTTAAAATCTAATATTTTAAATTAACCATAAAGAATTTCTTTCTATCAAGTTCACAAGCACAATCGATAAACCATTTTAACCACATTACTACAACCCGTATTCAGATTTGTTCTGAAACTTCATGTCATCCAAAGAAGAAGAAGAAAAGTGCGTATGGATATTCCGTTGAGAAGAAACATGTGTTCATTGAGAAGGGCACAATTTTATGCCTTGTGTATAAATCTGTACATCCGGAGCTATATATATATTTGATCAATCCAGAAAACAGAAAAAATGAATCTGTAATTCCTATTATAATTCACTGTCAATCTTTTCTAAATTTGTACCAGTACTACTCCTTTTTTTCTTTCACCAACGTAAACCTCGGGCCGCCGGATAAGAAGAGAGCAAAGTCGGCGGCACACAAGGCGAGTTCTTCCACACGCGCGCGTGCAGCCTCAAAACCTCCCTCGCCTTGTCTTTCGCCCTCCCGCTGCCCTCCACTTGCAATACCAGGCACAGCTTCGCCACCACCCCAATCTGCAGCATCTCCTGCAACACCGCGGCGGTCGCCGACGACTTCCCGACCGAAAGCAAAATCCTCACCGCTTTCTCCGTCGCCACCGTGGAGACGCGGAGTATCTTCTTGCTCACCACCGCCAATCCAGCGGCATGCTTCACGAACTCCGCCCTCCCTTCCGCGCACTGGCACAACACGTCCAGCGCGGCCAGCGCCATCTCACAGGCCCGCCGCTCCGACGAATCGAGGAGCAGGTCGACGAGGACCGAAACGGCGCCGGATTCCACCGCCTTGACGCGGTTCCTCCCCCAGGGGCACATCTCGATCAGCAATCCCAATGCGGCCTTGGACGCCTGCTTCGATATTTGGTCCCTCACCAGCTGGACCACCTCGCCAAAAAATCCCGTTCGGATCCCGATGATCCGGAGCGGGTCCGCCATGTGGAGCATGGATTTGGATATCTGGACCGCGTAGGCGCGGGACTCGTACGTCCCGCGCTGCATCACTCGCGTGAGCGAGTCGACGAACTCGCCGTTCCTGTTGACCAGGTCCTTCAGCGCGGGCTCCGAGATGTGGAGGCCGTGCAGGAGGCTCAGCGCCTCGTCGCAAGGGCTGGAGCCGAACTGCTCGATGCAGTCCAGCTCCGAGTCGTGGTTGAAATTCACCACGACCGAGGCGAGGAAGTCGACGGCTCCGGCCGACTCGATGGAGCGCTTGTTGGCCTCGCTTTCCTTTGCTAAGGACTTGAGCTGCCTGAGGCACTTGATCTGGCTGTGATGTGAGGATGATGACGTGGCGGAGTGGATGAGCTTGGAGATCTGTGCCCGGCTGGCGGGTGGTCTGGGAGTGGGGATGCAGTGGAAGCCGTGGGAGGCGTTGAGAGTGCACCAGGACTGGATGAGGCGGCGGAGGATGATGTTGGGGGTTAGGTCGGCGTCCGGCGGGATGGGCTGCTTGGTGACGGGGCACGTCTTGTTGTTGTTGCCGTTGGCGGCAGTGGCGGCGGAGGAGGAGAAGAGCCACCGCTCGATGGAGTCGCGATCGTATGTGATACCGGTGGGGAGGATGACCGGATCCTTCATTATCTGGAGGGAGATCGGGCAGAGGAAGAATGGAGGCACGTCGATCTCTGACTCTGAGTCCATCACTTGGATCTTTTGCCGGCGGTTGTGATGATGATCAGTTGACTATTGATTGTTGATGAATGTTGAGGGGTTATTGTACTTGGAGAGAGTTGAAGTTTTTTGGTTGATGAAAGTTGGAAGGAATATTGGAGGAGTTGTGGGTTTTTATATATAAGTAGGGATAGAGAAGAGAATGGGTAGAGGGTCAAAGGTGCAAATGTCAAAACACGGCAACTACAAAGTATTGCAGCAATTTGAGAGAATTGGACTTTTCAACGGGAAATGGTACTTCTAATAAGGGGTTAAGCATTAACTACTACTTGCTTCTGTTCTGTGTTTGTTTGTTGCGGTCTGTGAAATGGGGAAGGGAAATAATAATATATTGATTATTTAGTAATAATTAGGGGGAATGAGTACATGGAAGAAAATCCAATCTGGCCCCTGTTGGCTTTCTCTCTCTAGGAACTGTCTTTGCTATCTTTCTCTGTGTACCTCGTGTTTATTGAGTGTGTAAGTAACCTAACTAGTGTTTGAGCTGGTGTGAGATTGGGTTGCCGACAAACGGTCGTGGAGGGGATACTGGCATACTGCCTCTATTGTGGGGCCATCCTCATTTGCTGTTTCTCATAACTACATTTGTCAAGCTAAGTAAGCGCTTTATTTTCTTTTTCGATCTTTTTCTTTTTCTTAATGACAATTGAATTCATGTAAGTGATTAAATGTCGATGGGATAATTCCCTAAATACAGATAAAACTAAAACAAATTCCTAAAATACCACATTTATAAAAAAAATTTCCCAAAATACCCAAGTTTGGAGTGGTTCGAGTTTGAGGAACTCGAACTACTAACCGGTTCGAGTGTAGGAGACTCGATCTAGTCATAGATTGATGATATAAGCCTCGAACCATGTGGAGCTGAAGTGGTTCGAAATTTCCAACAACCTTAACTTTGTGCTCGGTTATCCGATCGTAGCAAACTTTTTTTTCATTTCTCATAACTTTTTGAGGACTACAACTTTTATAATAGAAATATTTTCATAATATATGTGAAAATGTGAAAAATAAAGTTAAAGTTACTCCCAAAATCCCTTATATTAAAAACTATTCCTATTTTAAAAATTTATTCCTAGTAAATGTTGTAGTACTAAAAACTTATGCAATATAAAAAAAAACTTTGCGACGTTCGGATTGCGGAGCACAAAGTTATGATTCTCCAAATTTTGGCAAATCGATTAGAAACCATGTATAATCTAAATTTGCGGTTATAAGAAATCTAAGAGTCAGTTTTCTGTGGAGGGAGAGATGTAAATGCATATATGGAAATGTATGCAGGGAGTCCTTCTCAGGTTGTTGTCCAAGCAAGTTCAGCAAACATTGGATTGTGCAAAGGGAGTGCAGCAACACAGCAGGAGTTTGATATATTATATATAGTATTGTGTCATTGTGTGTAGGGTTAGAAGTTAGTAGAGTATATTGTCTCTTGCACGCTGGTAATTTGCCTGTTGTGCTTGTTAGGATCTTTGATTGTCCATAGAAAAGCTAATTTCTCACAACTAATTTTGATAAGCCATATTTGTTTCATTTTAAATCATAATTTCAATTTTTTTACAATTTTCATTTCAAGTAGTAATTTTATTTTTTCACAAATAAATCAAATTAATTGTCCCCTCCAAAATGACATCCGTTTTTATATATTTTTTAACAAAAAATATATTATTACCAGTCCATAACAAGTGGTAATGTTTGATAATATATAAGATTACACCAGGTGCTATGGAAGTGTATCATTGTAGTAGAAACATAGAAGAGTGTAGAATAGTTGTATACATGATAGTAGAAATATACAAACGTCATTTATCACCTTTCCTTTCATTTTCATATACCACAAAAACACCCTGGTATAGAATGGTATATTTGGTATTGTAAAATTTTCACAAAAATTTGTAGATATATTAGATAAAGATGAACTCATTTTTCTGGATAATTTTTTTTAATTCATGTTAAAACGAATGTGGTACCAAGTGAAAACCACGTGGTATCATGATGATAACGAGTGTAATAAGTGGTATGCAATTTTTTTCTTGAAATATATTAATTAAAAATGAAGATCATTTGTACATCACATGGACTTGTTCCATTTGTTCAATTTATTATGAAATTAAAGTTAAAACAAAAAATATAAAAGCCGATTAAAAAAGAAAATAGATAGAAACTCTTAATTCGCATCCCTTATATTTGTTTCTACTTAAAATTTAGGGTTCTGATCTAGTTATTCGCCCTATCTTGGACCTTATATGAAGATATTCTAAAGAAAGAATATTAATTTTAACTTTTATTATGATCATTAGTAGTTGAATTTGTTTTGTCTCGCAGGATTTAGTAGCCTCCTTTTATCATTTATTTTTTTAAATAATTTCTCAATTGTAGAAATCCAAACAACGCGGAAGTAAAAGACACTCGATGTTTACGTGGTTTTCTCGTTCATTGTAAATGAGACTATTCCATAGAGAGTTTGCATTAGACACCTTTATTTCTTCATCCACTTCAGCTATAGTATCTGGGTAGCTAGGCAAAGAAGCAAGAAATTCAGCTGCTGATTTGATAGGGGGTCTAATTATAGTATAGGTCATGCTCTTGGAATACCACGTGACAAGAAATCCGAAGACGATAAGTAGAAACATCATAACATGCATATCCTTTGTGTTTCTCACTATAGCCCACGAAAACATAATTTGCAGCCTTTGGGGACAATTTGTATGCTCCCGCTAGCTAATAAAACATAGCACATGCAACCGAAGATGTGCAGCCAAGCATAGTTTGGGTGAGAAGAGTGAAGAACGGGATACGTTGAGCAAGGACCGGAGTCATCTGGCGATTAATAAGATACACCACTGTGTGAACCACCTCCACTCAGAAGTTGGTAGGGAGGCTGGAATGGAACAACAATGCACGAGTAAGCTTCAACACATGTCTATTCTTACGCTCGACAACCCCATTATCTTGGGAAACACTTGGTCAAGACTGTTGGGGAAGGATCCCCTTCTCACAAAATAGATCAAGTAATGGGTTCGAAGTAAACTCGCCACCAAGATCAGACCACAGAACTTTGATCACCTTGCCAAACTGAGTTGACACAATCTGAATAAAATCCTGAACTACATAAAAAAAATTCGACTTCCTTTTGAGAAAGTAAACCCAAGTATATTGAATAACATGATAAAAAAAACAAAGCAAAGTGTCGAAACAAAGTCACGCAGTGACGGAGAGGGCCCTCAGAAATCAGTGTGAACAAGATCAAATGGTTCGTCATACTCAGTAGTGCTAGCAATAAAAGATCGCTAAGAAACCTTAGCCTCCACACAATGAATACACTCATGATCAGGAATCCAACGAACTCTACCAGTCAACCGAATTTTTTAAACATATAAAAAAGTCTCGACTTATGGGGATGGCCAAGCCAAAAATGCATAAATTCCAATTCGTTAATTTAATAGAATAACCAGTATTTGATAAACAAGAAGCGGAAACAATAGCACAACATCCGAACATCCAACAACTTGAACACTCGGCTGATCCTTATCCCGAGTGCACAAGAATGTGCCCCCTCGATCTCCCTCCTAGCGCTCGACTCCAACCTGGTGGTCATAGCAATCAAGGAAATAGATCCGACCCTTCTTACTCTCACGCCCTATCACCGCCCTATCCTCATGTCCTGCACAGCGCAACTATGAGTATCAAAGATAATGAGACATCTGTCATCAGACAATTGACCCACCCAAACTAGGTTGGGTACGATTTTAGGAACATAGAAGGCACGAGAAAGAGACAATTGATCTCGCCGAACAGAACCAACACTCTCCACTCACATACGCGAGGCATCAGCATCTTGTAGAGCAATACCAGAACTTGGCCGAAGAGACATAAAAAGAGAACTATCACTGGTCATATGATTCATAGAAGTAGAGTCAAGATGCCACGAAAGAAGAGAAGAAGAGACCATATCAGTCGAGAATGCAGAACTGAAGGCAAGGATTCTTGAAGAGCTTCACGAACAAGACGATGGATCTTTGTCGAAGACACACCAAAAAGGAGCTTGTCGAAGTATCCACTAAAGCTGATGAAGGAGCAGGAGTGTTCGGATAAGCGCGACCTAGAGCACAAGGACCTTGTGGTCATGACCCACCAGCCACAGTAGATGGCCCAGAGCCACCACCACCCCCTGCCCCGCTGCGCAAGTATAGGGAAATCCCCAATAATATGTTCGGTAGCCTTACAGTAATTGCACGCAACACGTTCGGGGCACCGAACTTGAATATGACCAGGTTTCTTGCAATGGTAACAAATAATTTCTCCAAAAGGTGTGCAGCCAAACTGTGGGCAACCTGACTAAACAGCAAAAGCAATACCTGCTTGGAGGAGCGCACGTCCAGCTTAGCCTGCGTACGGAGAGGAGTCTCTTCCTGAAGTAACTCAGCCAGAACTTCATCACTCGTGCTCACATTGTGGTGAAGAAGAGAAGAGCGAACTCCTTCAAAGGTAGGATTAAGGAAATAAGAAAGCCCATCAACCGAGAGATGGGGGGTTCCTTGATGACTTCAGCGGAAGCAGTAGCGTAAACAAGAGACATGGTCAGCATGTCTTGTTCGGTCCAGAGGTTGAGAACGGCCTAATAATAGGAGCGAAAATCAAGATCTCCCTGCTGTAGAGTGGTAATGATAGTCCGAATCTCAAATTTCTACAAGACATAGGCCTGAGAAAGAACATCATGAAGATGTTTCCACATGGCATGAGCAGTCGGAAACATATCCCTTGTCTAGCAATATGTTTACCACAATGTCAATTTCAATACTTTTTTCAAATTAGTAGCTCCGTTGTCGTTTATAGAAGCCATATATACTACTACTACTACTACTACTACTAGGATCTCAATCTCTCATATATAATTATCCATAACATTTGGAATCTTAAGATTAGTAGCCCTCTATATCTAGAGTTATGCCCATCATAGGAACAGACTTCACGACATTGTACATGCTGTCGAATCATTGTCCATGGCAAAAAGATCAACACTAGTTGATAACCTGCAAAATTCAGTAAGGAAGCACCTTAATATGATAACTTTGGTATACCAAAACACAAGTTCAAAAGAAATAACAAAAAAGTTGAGAGTAGTTTTACCAAAATTCTAAGTTAGCTAAGCATGGCTTCTTTAGCTACTGTGCATCCAAAATACTAATCATCACAAAGGTAATCTGTACAAAAAGAAAAAAAAACGAAGGGCACAAGTTATTGTCTCCTTCAACACCCACATTAATGAGAATACCTCATATTGGGAAAACAACTATATATATATCATTCAAACACATTCAACATTGAAATGATTCATGCTTATTAAAATGCTTAATAAAATTTGAAGGGCAAGTCCTCCTTACTTATAGAGACATATCCCTTGTCTAGCAATATGTTTACCACAATGTCAATTTCAATACTTTTTTGCTGCCAACCTTGATGTAGACTAAATTCTGCTAAAATCCAACCATTTGTCTCCATCATAATGAGTTCAAGTGAGACTTAAGAACTTCTCTTACCTGTTTAGCTAAATGTTGCCTTTAGCTTGAAGGTTCGCCATAATCCTCCTAAATTCTGCAAGTTCTTCTTCTACCCTTGTCAGTTTGCCAGTAGTCGCTGCAAGTTGTTGATTAGACTCAGCTTGTTTTTCATTATGATGGAGACAAATGGCTGGCTTTTATCCCTAAATAGTTGTTCATAGTTGGCATCCACATGATCTCTCCTCCTAGATGGGGCTGACTGTCCATACCCAAGTCCATGACAATATCCCAAGTTGTAACCCAAAACTGTATGAAAAGCCTGATCTTCAGAGATGGGTTTGTCACTATCTTTAGAACTATCAACAAGCTCCTGCATCTTTTCCTACAAAATTCATATGAGGAGATGAACAAGAATCACTAAAAAATGATAAAAATGCACGACAAATAACAATGGGCAGTAGGTAGAAGATGAATGGAATATAATAAACATTCGCTTTTAAAGAAGGAACCAGATGGTTAGTTCTCATAAGTCAAACTTACATATTATATAAACTATGCAATCTGCCTATCTCTAATTACACGAATTTACCCAATAATTTATTAACTAAGTTCTTTAGCTAACGAGTAAGTTACCTTTTACTAATATCTATACATATGAAGTTTCAAGAATTCAAGTACTAACAACAAAATTTCAAATAAAAGAAAACCAAGTTTAGTTTCCTACTTCCTACACTGCTACAAATAAACTAAGGGGTCGTTTGGATGAGGAATTGTAATTGATCAATTTGACACAATTGTCTCGTTTTGAGACAATTGTACCAAATTGCCTCGTTTGCCAGCAAAAAATTTGGATGGATCAATCTGCCTGAGGTATTTTGAATTGATCCATTTTGAGTCAATTTCAATTACCTAGGGTGGGGGCAGGTAATTCGAATTGACTCGTTTTAATTGCCTCATTTATAAAACGTGACAATTGATCAAATTGACTTGTTCCTAGATTGATCCATCCAAACGACCCTAAGCTAGCTAGCTAAACATAAACGTGTTGCTGTGAGAGACAGAGGAGGCAACAATTAAACCTTATCTACGCAGCTATACATGGCCAAGAGAAAAGCACAATTCAAGAACAAAGTTCCATATTGACTTTTCACAACTTCCCCTACCTTCCTTTCTTTATAAACATCCACGCAAAGCAAAAAAGGCAAGAAGGAAAATCAATGGTAATTGATAAAAATAAACAAAGAGATGGATGTGGGTACTGGGTAACTCCAGTTTGAGTAACACACTCACCAAACAGTTACAACCGACAAGGAGAAAGTAGGGAACACTACGGTTTGCAGCTGCAGAGCGTTCAAGGAGATCGAGGCAGAGAGCTTCAGGGCATGGGAAGGAATTCTAGGAACAAGAATGGAGTCACTGGTTTATGACGAGATCAGAAACAGAATGGAGGCAAGCAGAGGGGTTAAATGGGCGATTTATAACACTGCACTCATCCAGGAAAACCTAGTTTTTTCATGTCGTACATGCCCTACAAAATTCGTGCCTTAATGCTTGAATCCTTAGCCCCCAACACCAATAACCTTCTGCAATAATCAAAAATGAACACATCTGAATGGCATGTCGGTAGGGAAACATTGAAGAAACACTTACAAGGAAGTCTTGAGCTCATGGATGGAAAGAAGAATTGAGAATCGACAGGGAGAAGGAGATGCGACGGATAACGGGCGGAATCGGAGAGCACGATCAGACAGAATCAAGGGAATTTCCCACCAACAGTGTTGGAGAATCGGTTCTCGACGGCGCCATTTGGGTGAGAGTTCGTTCTTTCAAGTTCAGGGAGAAATTTTAGGGTTCTAGAATTGAGGTATGAAAGAAGCGTTTGATAGCCAAAGGGAAAGAAGACCCCAATGCCACTGTTTCATTAGGTAAATAAAACAATTATTTATTTATTAAATTAAAAACTTACGGGACAAAGGGTGTGGAGAAAAGGTTTGCTAAAAATATCTTAATTTATTATACAATAAAACATTACCGTTTCCAACATAAGATTTTTAGGCTTAATTTTTTCAGCGACGGAGCCCGTCATTGCAAACACTCAAACATTATGCGACGAAAGTCATTTGTCGCAAAAACCTCTCAATGATATAGCGACGGATAATGGTCGTCTCGAAATATAACTACCATAACGCGACGAATTTTTACGTCGTGAAAAATCTCCAAGCTTTCTGCGACGAAGGCTTTCGTCGCAAACTATCTATAAATTTTTCGCGACGAAATAAATCGTCGTGAAAAGTAAAATTCCATCGCGGAAACCACCACCCCATCTTCCGCTGAAACCTGACACTATGAGCGACGGAATAGAAAATGTCGTCGCAATGTGTGCTTTTTGCGACGAATTTCTTATCGTCGCAAAAGAATTCGTCACAGAATGTACAATTTCTTGTAGTGCGGGAAGTTTTTCCCATTAAAACGAACCGAGATAGCATCCTTAGTACCCTCCATTGTCACACAAAAAACGGCGAGCAAGACAAGGAAAAGAGAAGCACGAGCAATGATCACAAGAAGGCAAGAGATAATACCGCAAAGAGATGAAGCTAGGAATCCCCGAACCCGCAAGAACCACATGAAGAGCTGTGCAAAAATAGCACATAGCAAAGACAACCCTAGAGCACCACACATGCAAAACCACTCCTACAACTTGACGAAACCGGAAGCAAACAAGACTCGCAATACATCGAACAACTGGGCGCAAAATTAAACGGATCGGACAAGAAATCAAGTACCCAGCGGCAAGAACACACGAAGCAGCCACAATCCACCGAAGAGAAGAACGATGTAGAAGACAGGAATGCAGCGCGCACCGAGAGATCTAAACTAGACTACGAAATTGAGCAGAGGCTCTGATACCATGTCAAACGCAGCTAAATCAGTTCATAAACGATAAACGTTGAGACTACTCCACGGTACAAAAGCGTTTAAGTTATCTTATTCAGAAGTGTCCCAAGATACCTAAACAAAGTCACATAGGACTATATATACATACACGGGCTGAGGATAGGGTGAGTAACAGTTGGTTACTCACCCATCAGTAATCATTTAGAGACCGTTGATTTGGACGGATTCATTGTGCGGTCGAGATGGATGCAGAGATGGTTAGGGGTATTTTTGCCCGTTGCTTTAATTTTGTTTTCTTTCTTTTATTTTATTTTGCCCAGCATTTATTAGCTGATTTGAATGGAGGAGAGAGAATGCAACTTTTCCTCTTTTTCTGAAACTCTCCTTTCCTCTTTCATCTTTTCTCTTTCTTTCTCTCTCCCAATCTTCTTCTTCTCCAGATCTGATCTCTTCTTCGGTTCTTCATTTTTTTCATCAGTAATCGACGAAAGAAAAGTGCAGCATCCTTCTTTCATTCTGTTTCTTCTCTTCGAGATCCTTCTTCTCTCGAGTTGCTCCCTCCTTCTCTTCTTTTTCCCCCCCACCGAAATGGACGAGGGAAAAGTGAATTCTCCTTCTTTCATTATGTCTCTTCTCTTTGTCAAGTCCTTGACATCAAATTTGGTGAAGCTCCATATCGATCAAGAGGGGAAAGATTTAGGTGAGTCCAGTTTGCATGTTTTATGCTTTAGTATATTTTTTTTTTTTTTGGGTGGATTTTCAATTCCAATCTTCCTCATTTGTATTTTTGTGTTCTCAAACGCAGAGGAGAAAATGAGAGGAGGCAGAAGATGAGCATGTGAAGTATATCTAAGATGTATATTGTGGTCACCATACTATACCATAGTGGTATTATGTGGTAACTAGATGTTTATTGTGGTTACCACACTATACCATATGGTAATGTGTGGTAATTAAACGTATTTTTAAGGTTACCATGTTTTACCATGGTGGTATTATGTGGTAACTAGATGTTTATTGTGGCTACCACACTATATCATATTGTAATGTATGGTAACTGAACGTATTTTTATGTTTACCATGTTTTACCATGGTGGTAAGAATGTGGTCATCGACCCCAGTTGTGGTTACCACACTATACCATATGGTAATGTGTGGTAATTAAACGTATTTTTAAGGTTACCATGTTTTACTATGGTGGTAAGAATGTGGTCATCGACCCCAGTTGTGGTTACCACACTATACCATATGGTAATGTGTGGTAATTAAACGTATTTTTAAGGTTACCATGTTTTACCATGGTGGTAAGAATGTGGTCATCGACCCCAGTTGTGGTTACCACACTATACCATATGTTAATGTGTGGTAACTGAACGTATTTTTATGGTTACCATGTCTTACCATGGTGGTAAGAAGGTGGTCATCGACCCCAGTTCCGGGAAAGAAGAGTGAGAAGACAATGAAGAGGGCAAGAAAGTAAATAAAGTCGTAATTATATATATATATATATATATATATATATATGTGGTGGCGTCTTCGGTGCACTCACTTTTTTGGGTGCATTCAGTGCACTCGCTTCATAATCGTCATTTTAAACATGAGATTTATGTCAAAATGATGTCAATCATCACTTATGATGTGATGAATGATAACGCACATGAATTTGCACAAAAACCATGAAAGATTTGCTTTAATTTGAAGGATTTAGAATTTAAAGATCTAGGGTTAGGGTTAGGGTTTACAGTTTGGGGTTTAGGGATAGAACTCAAAATTGGAGGTCTAGGGCTTAGGGTAATCCGCTAATTAGTTGTTATCATATGTTATATCATCATATTATACTAATTCTACAAATTAAAATTCAAAATCCGACTCCTTAAGACTAGTTTTTGAGTTGGGTGCATTGAACGCACTCATTTTTGTGAGTGCGCCGAAGTAGTCTTCATATATATATATATATGGGAGTTCTACGGTACCCAGGGTGAAATTGGGGGTACCGCATACCTTGAGTAGGAAAACACTATACAAAACTTGAATTGACTGATCTTTCGGACATGATACTATACCCTAACTCTTAAAGATCAAAATCTAGGTCTTAATTCTCTAAATCTTATACTCTAAGATCAATTTAATTAGAAACAATAATCGACGGTTACGATTCATCCAAATATAGGCAAAAAAATCAATGCACCATCTTAAGGTTTGTAGTTTATGATTTAGATCATTAGGACCTAGGGTTCACTCATTAAGGGTTAGGGTATAGTATCATGCCCAAAAATCCTGCTAATTCGAGGTCTAGATAGCGTTTTCATACTCAAGGTATGCGGTACCCCGGATTTCACCCGGGGTACCGTAGAAGGCACTATATATATATATATATATATATATATATGGATACGACTCGTATGCATATATATATATATATATATATATATATATATATATATATATATATATATATATATATGGTGGCTACTTCGGTGCACTCACTTTTTTGGGTGCACTCAGTGCACCCAATTCTAAAAGCGTCCACAATACATCAAATTTTGAACTTTAATTAGTACTCTCAATATAATATGATGATATGACATAGAATCATAACAAATCAATCCATTACCCTAACCCCTTAACCTTCAATTTTGAAACCTAACTCAAAATCCCAAATTGTAAACCTAAACCCTAAATCCTAAATCCTTCAAATTAAAGTAAATTTTGAATGAATTTTTTTCAAATTCATGTGCTTCTTGTTCATAATATCATAAGCAACAATTGATACCGTTTTGACATAAATCGCATGGTCAGAATGACAATTATGAGGCGGGTGCACTGAGTACACCCGAAAAAGTGGGTGTACCGAATACGCCACCATATATATATATATATATATGTATATATTGAGATTACCACACTATTAAATGAAAAATCATCATTCAATTTGAGTTGGAGTTGGAGTAGAGAGAGCTGAGATTGTTGAATTCATATTTGTTTTTGAGATAGAGTTAGTGTGCAGAGAGCATGTACTATTTTTTTCTCTTTTAGTTGTAGATGGGAGAGAGAAGAAATAATTTAATTTTTTTTTAATAATAGATGAAAGAGTGATAGAGGGAAACGTGTGGGGGACAAGGAGTGGGGTTCACGTTCGGTCAAAAGTAGGTGTCAGGTCGTCAGCATTAAATAAGGGGTGGATGCAAATTACCCTACTGCCCCTCCGTGTTCCATTTAAATAAAAGGGGACGGCTCAGATGCAGACACGTGGAGGATGGAGAAAGGGTTACGCACGGTTATTGAGGATAGGGTTACTGACCTGATCCGGACCCACATACACGGCCGCCCAACTCTCCCGCTACAATCCACGTAATACATACTAAAAATTTACATTTTTGTACCCAAAATATATAACTTCTAACACTCACATCCAATCAATACGAGAATTTCTTGCACTGGATCGAAACAGTTAAATACTTAACATCTCATGTTTAATTGTCTATCTCTATCCCAAATAGATAAACTGTTTGGCCAATGCAACTCTACTCGCCTTTCCCCTTATCTGTTGAGGCCCCATAAAAATTTAATCAGATGAGTTTGATTCAGTATGGTAATTGGAAGTAGGAGGTCAATGCGGCAAGTGGGTCTCCATTATAAACTATCGGTATACGCCAAATAAAACTCCCCATGTGGTTTAAAATTACAACATTCAGAGTACATAGACAAATAACTAAAAAGGCCACAAAATTGATTGCATTGCATTGCATTGCATTGATAGAGAAGAAGATTCAAAGTCTCTCCATTTCCCACTGGCCTTTAGCAGACTTGAATATTAATCCTAGGCCAATTAGGACTTAATCACATCACAACCTGGCTCAAAGTCAAAATAATGGACTACACGCAAATTGCAGCAAAAGGTAATTAACAAAGAAGAAATGGGAAGTCGGTCATCAAAAGTTGGGAACTGAAGAACAAAATGTAAACCCACGTGGACGATATCGTGCTTCTGGGTAGGTGTTAATTAGCCATACGGCGAGCTATGTCAGCAGTGACGGACTCGTCAGCAGCAACAAAGAGTGGAAGCCCAGGCCATGTCATCAGCCGTCTTTTTTTGGACTAGATACTATAATAACACTCCTTTTGTTGTTATTGTAACAACACTAGTCTCCAACCAATAGGAGGCTAGGGTTGTGATGACTTTTTATTAGTTGAGTTGACCTAGTGTAAAATCAAAGCAGGGGTATAATTGTCATTATGAAAAATAATTAAAAAAATAAAAAATATTTTTTTATTTTCTGTAAAAAAATTTGGTCCCCGGAATTTGGTCCCCGGTCGCCGGAATCTGATCGCCGGTCACCGGAATATGCTTTTCGCTGCCGGAATATGCTAGTTTCTCATCGGAATATGCCAACGTCGCCGGAATATGCTTACCGGCGTCGGAATATGCTTACCGGCGTAGGAATCTAGTCATTGGGGCCGGAATATGCCTATCGGCGTCGGAATCTGCTCACTGACGGTCATCGGAGTTTGGTCAAAGAACTTCGTTGACCGGTCAACGGTCAACGACCACCGGATACTATGGTCTGCATTGTGAGATTTATGGTTTGGTTTCTCACATTTTTGTATGCCTTTTGTGGTTTGCTTTATCGCGTTTGTGGTTTGCATTGACAAGTTTCTGGTTTGCTTTATCGTGTTTGTGGTTTGCATTGAGAACTTTCTGGTTTGCTTTCAAAAATTTTGTGGTTTGCATTGAGGGGTTTGTGGTTTGTTTTAGGAGATTTGTGGTATGCATTAGGAGGTTTCTGGTTTGTTTTTGTGGTTTGCTTTAACGTGTTTGTGGTTTGCATTATGAGGTTTCTGGTGTGTTTTTAAAAATTCTGTGGTTTGCTTTGTGAGGTTTCTGGTTTGTTTTAATATATTTTTGGTCTGTATTAGGACGTTTCTGGTTTGTTTTTGTGGTTTGCTTTATCGTGTTTGTGGTTTGCGTTTTGAGTTTTCTGGTGTGTTTTTGAAAATTCTATGGTTTGCTTTGTGAGGTTTCTGATTTGTTTTAATAGATTTTTGGTCTGCATTAAGATGTTTCTGGTTTGTTTTTGTGATTTGCTTTATTGTATTTCTGGTTTGCATTATGAAAAGAAACCTGAAAATGAATACCATTATCAACAAAAAAAAAACATATATAACCATGTTCTGATTTGGGACTTCTTCCTGTTTGTTCCCAAATCCCATCGAAGGAATCCGGCTTGCTTTTCTTATGGATACAGTCTACCCGTCTTACATAAGTCACAGCTTGAACGTGTCACAAACCAAAATCCATGGCTGCGCCTGTCATTGCTCTTCGAGATGGCTTACGTTGTGGACGGTGAAGGCTACTTCGAGATGACTTGCCCTCACATCTCCAACACTAGGAAGGAGAAGATCTTCCCCACCAGATCCAGCTTCCCCACCATATCAATGAAATAATTTTACAATCCAACTCCCTTCCGCATGTACGTACGGGACCAGCTTCTTTAGGGTACCAACAATACCAATTGCTGCTCTTAACCCCTCCAGGTGGATACCAAAAAATCAATAACAATGACAATTGAGATAAAAATACCCAATTATTGCTCAAAGAACAGTGGAGTGGGGTGGCATTAAATATTTAATTCACGCAAATCCTACTCTTAATCACTAATCACCGCTACGGAGCTTTGTTTATCCCTTCCTAGTCACTCCATTTTCTCCAAAAAAACAATGCAGAAACAGAATTTAACATTCGAGCCCCCTCCCTCCTCTCCATTTCGCCACCGTAGAAAAGCCGAGGGAAACAAAACACAAGCCCGGTGGCCACCGTCCCTGCAAACACAATCCCTCCGCTAAACATCAAGATCCGATTCAATTCAAAAATCAATTCACGCAAGATTCAATTGAATCGGAAGATATAGAGGGGGAGGAATATAGAGATTTGAATCACAAACTCACAATTGCGAGCCTCTAGAGACGATCTCAAAATCTGGGCTCGTCTTGGAGCTATCGTAAGATCGGCGACACCTCGTAATCTCCGATTTCTCTAGCGACGACGTTCTTCCTCGCCTTCACGACCTCAAACGCATGGTGACAGAAGAAGCAGGGGCAGGGGCGGCGGAGGAAGAAGCATGGCGGAGTAGAAGCGCTGCCACTGCGGGGGTGATCGGAAGGCAGGCCGTCGGAGATGCTCTCCCGACGCCCAGCTGTCGCAGCTGTTTCAGGGAGCTGAGTCGTCGGATGAAAGGAAAAAGGCAAAATGAGATCTGGATGTGATGGGACGGAGAAAAAATAGTTTTTGATTTTTGATTTTAATTGTGTTTGGTTGGATTACCTTTTTGTCCTTGTTGTTATAGTAACAACAAATATACTGTTGTTATACTATCTGGAGCCGTCTTTTTTAGTGTTTTTTTTTATATCAATCCACTGTAGCCACGTTTGGGATGCGGTGGAGAATAATAACAAAAACGGGATCGAGTTTCTTTTTTCTGTTTTTTTTTTCAATTAGAAGAAATTAAAAAGGAGATTCTCAAATGTCGTGGACGTGGAGGGTGGAGAAGCCGTGCGTGTAAGTATAGGTGTCAAAATGAACCCGTCGGGTCGAAGCGGGTTGCACCTTTTGGTCTTTTCTCATTTTAATTCTTGATTCTTTATTCTTATCCTTGGGTTGGTTAAGTTGGTTTGGTTGGCTCTGATACCAAAGTTGACATGAATTCTCATAGAATTTGATTCCAAAGTTGACATGATTCTCATAGAATTTGATACCAAAGTTGACATGATTGACATGATTCTCGTAAAGATGTTGACCGAAGAATCTGATACTAACAAATTGATATATGCATGGTTTTTCACGTAACTTTGCTTTCTTTAGTTTTTGTTCATTCTTCATGGAAGGAAAAAGTGGCATGATTACAACCATTACAATTTTGTATTTTAAAAGGATATTTTTCAGTTTTTCCTAACTGAGCTTTAACTATTCATTAATTTTTGTTTTATCTTAGTTAAACTAGTTATTATATCGGTAATTAATTCAGTTTTGGATACGGCTTCTTCCAATGTTTCTGAATTTCCTATACACATTTGTTCTTCTACTATATCTGATATGAAGTGAGATAATTCTAATGTAACTGTATTAATGTCGTTTACTGATGTGAGGTCTAATGCATCTATTCCATCTATCAATTTATTTATATAATAATTGTTAGGCATTTTTACAATTTTTCACTTATTTCTACGATTAGCTCTTGTAACTTTTTTATTTCACTAGTATTATCATTTTGATGAAGTATAGTTATGTTTTTTATTTCTTGATTTTCTTCTTTCTCTTTTTCCTTTTTCTTATCGGTTAGTCTCATGGAAGCGCTTCTTCCATCTACACTTATTCTTGGATAATCATAATTTGATTTTATTATTTTTAGAGGCGATTCTAGTTGGATTAGTGGTTTGAATAAATCTTCTATGGTGATAGCTTCTTTATCCTTAAATGCTAGACTATGATGACTATTAGTTAGTGCATAATTTATCTGGTATGTTACTGAAAAGGGTTTACTGTTTTCTTTCATAAAATTTTTTCTTTTTAGCTCATACTTTATAATAATGGAAGAGTCAAGATTCCCATCTGTTAAACTTAATCCTTGTTGTAGATTAATATCAAATTTGATTATTCCTAATCCTAGATTTCCCTTTCCTTTTGCAATAATACTTTCTTCTTTGTTAATGAGCCGATCATCCCTTATTTCTTGTTCTATGGGTGCAGTTATCCCTGTTTTCATAGTAGATTTTAGAATGATTTGTATCGTGCTGATATGAATGTAAGCTATTTTATTTCTTTCTTCCGGTTGTAACTTAGATAATCTTTTCCTAATTTGTTCCCTATTTATTATTTGAATTAGGAAATCCCCTTTAGTTTGCTCTATTGGTACTGCCGTTTCTCCTATCATTTTTCCATATTTGATTATGTTTTTTCTATCAAATAGTTTGGATAAAAAAGATTTAGTAATAAAATTTTGCGTTTCTGATAGGGTAAAATTGGTTTGTTCCTTAATTTTCTTGACATCTATTAATCCATCTAGAAAATAGTTGTCTTCTTCATTTTTACTTAAATAATCAAAATCACTGTTACTGCTACTAGGGTTTTCTGACATACCTGATTATGGCTTAGGTTGAATGTTGCAATTTCTTGCTGTTGAATGTCTTCATGGTGATGTAGTATGAGAGAGGTTGATTGCTGATGATCGTTGCAATGGTGTTGGAGAATTCTGTGTGGTGTTAATGGTTGGTGTATGGCTTTTTATGAATGGGTGATAGTGGGTACGAACGTCTCCAGAGTATTACCTCAAACGTTCTGTGCCGAAGCACCAAGACTTCACTTAGTCTTTTTGAGAGAGAAATCTCAAACTTTTATTCCACTCTGCCCCCTTATGAGGTTTTAGGTTACATATTTATAGTGCAGGACCTAGCCTGCTTACATATGCTATTACATCATTCTCCACTTGAGAAAAGAAAACAGACAAGAAATAAAAGCAGACCAAACACTCCTTCACACGTTTTTTCCTACATTATTGTTCAGATAAAATGGAATCTTTAGCCTTTTCTTGATGGATGATGACTTGCTGAATTGTCCACGTAGTTCTGTCTGGATTACACCTCATTTGCTCCATTATTGCTGCTAGTGGAGGTAGTCATGTCTGCGGCACAGTGTGTACATATGTGGTCCTCGTGTAACTGCAATAATTCACATAGTTGCTGTTTTTGGTCCGCCGTTAGTGGTGCTAACGTTCCTTCTAGATTGATAAAGTCTTTGGCTAAATCTGTAATGAATCCCCATTCTTCTGCTGTAATCTGGTTTTTAGAATTACTGATGATGATCTTGTTGGTGCTGGTATAATTGACCTTAATATTGTCTGTTGGGTTAAGATAATATAAGGCCTGACTTACTGCATATAGTGATTTGACTTGATAGTCTTCTGGTATCCTGGCTACTTCCAGTTCATCTCTGGTTGGATAACTACCATTAGATACTCCCATCTTGATGATTGCTTTTGATGGAACGACTAGTTCTTCTTTGTTGAATACTGGGTAACTGGATGTATACCTTAGATAGATTTCTCTACCTTTGGCAAAAGAGTCTGCATACCTTTTTACCACTGTTTTGAATTTTGTTGGAAATTCATCGAAGATCTGGGTCTTCTGGGTATATATGGTATCAATTAATCCATATTGATGAAGAGCAAATAGTGTTGTTGGTGCGATTTTGTCTGTGATGATGACTGCTCTTGGTCCTCCCTTGAAGGTTGGGTAGAATCCCATGGTGGTGTGAATTTCTTTATAATTGAGAAGATCTTCCCAGCATTGTTGAAATTTTTGAAGTGTGGGTCTGTTAGCTTCTTCTTTTTGCTTTGTAGTTGGAATGTCCTTGATGCTGATGCTTGGAATCTTCATTACTAATCTTTTTTGTGAAGTAACCGGCTCAGCTTTTTGTTTCATGGCCATTTCTCTGTATGATTCTTTTAATACCTGTTCAGTTTCCTTCAACGACTTCTCTGCTTCTTCTTTGGTTGGGAATGATTGGTGTTTGATATTGTGTCCCGTAACATGATGAGATACTATTGCCCAGTTGTTATAGAGTCCTCGAAATGGTCCATCATAAATGACGTACCATTTTCCTTTCTTTGATTTTCTTTCGTCTTCTTCATACTTCTCATCTTCTTCTACCATGTCTGACCATTTTGTTGATGACGATGGTATATCTCTTTCTGGCTGTGTACTTGATGACTGAATAGTTTGTTGTTGCAGTCCAGGCTGACTAATGTTTTTGGTTTGTGCTTGCAGAATGGTGATGGTAGTTTTTATTTGCTCCAATTCCCCCCGCCTCTGAGAAAGTTGGACTTCGAGAGCACGAATTTGTTCCTCCTTTTGCTGTTGCTGGTGCTGCATTTGCTTGATTATTCCTTCCATTCGCGTGTAAGCGTGTCCGCTAGTGGATTTGCTGTTGACTTGATATACTTGAGATATGGGCGATAATAATGAAGTTGTTGTTGCCAGCGAATGAGTCTGCCTTTATTGAAGTCTGCATCCAGTTTGTATCTCCAAAAACCTGTAACATATTTAGAGTCGGTTCGTAATTCGAATCGACTGGTGCGTAATTCCAGCTTCCATTTTTTCAGTGTTCTGAGACAGGCTAGTGTCTCTAGCTCATGTATTGGGTAGTTTCTTTCAGTGGAAGAGAATGTTCCAGATATATATTTACATAACTTCTTTGTATATTTTTCTGTATTGAATGGTATTGTATAGTCATATTGTTTGGAATCATTCGATTCATTATTGCATCGAGATAGTGGTGAATCGTTCGATTCATAACTGATATAGGGTGAATCATTCGATTCATTGCTGATTATATTGCCATAGTGATCAAGTGATAGTAATTTTTTGCCTTCTGGTATTGCAAGCATGCAACCTGCCCATGTATCCCTTGATGCATCTGTCTCAACAATAAGAAAATCTCGATCGCATGGGTTATATAATTTTGGTAAATGATCACAACTAGCCTTCATAAATTTTACCACCTCTGTGTCCTTATCATCCCATTTCCAAGGTATTTTATCTGATATTTTTTGCTGAAGATATTTTCTTTCTTTTGCTAGATTTTTTAGAAATCCTTGTTCACTGATATAATTCAGACTTCCTAGAAATCGTTGTATTTGTTTTCTATTTTCCATTTTATCTGGAAATTTATCTAATTTTTCCTTAACATTAGTGGTTAGTTCTATTTCTCCTGTACTATTTATTTTCATTCCTAAATACTCAATTTCATTAACTAACAATTTAGATTTCTTTTTTGATATTACTAGTCCTTTTTCTTTTAATCTTCCAAAACCTTTATTAGTTTTTCTTCATGATCTATTCTATCTTTATTTGAAAAGATAATAATGTCATCAATGTATGCTAAACAAAAATCTTCCAACCCTTCTAGATTTTTATCCATAAATCTTTGATAAATTCCTGGGGCTTGCTTAATTCCAAATGGTAATACATTCCATTCATAATGTTTTTGTGGTGGACATGAAAAAGCTGTTAAAGGTTTTGTATTTTCATGAAGTCTTAATTGCCAATATCCTGATTTTGCGTCTAGGCTACTGAACCAAGTTTGTCCTTTCAATCGTTCCAGAATATAATCTTTTCTTGGTAATTTATAACTATCTCCTATAGTGTGTTCATTGAGTTTTTTATAATTTATTACCATACGTCTTTTTCCCCTTTTAATTTCATTATTATTTTCTACATAGAATGCCGGGGCACTATGCGGACTTTTACTTTCTCGAATAATATTTTTACTGAGTAAATCTCCACATTCTACTAAGAATTCTTCTACATCTCTTTGAGTATATTGTATTTTATTAGGAACATTAACTTCGATATTTGGATCTTTTAGTTTAATTTCTATTAATTCTGAATTTGTGTTTTTTATACTATCCAAAGGGTGTTCACTACAGACTTCCTCTAGTTTTTCTTCAACTATTCCGCATGCTATTTGAATATATTCGAGTTTATTCTTAAGTCTTTGTAGGACAGTCCTTAATACTTCATTTTTTGTTATTATCTTGGTGGTAACGATTTTTGACTCTTGATTTTTCATTTTTGGAGCTTTTAGACTTATACTCCTAATTCTTTGCGTAAATGGCTGATATAATTTAAGAAAATTATTTCCTATTATTATGTCCAATCCTGAATCATGAAGATATATTGTCTTGGCAGTAAAAATATATTGTTCTATAATGATAGGCACGTAATGTTTTACATACCAAATTTCATGGATAGATTTATCTGCAACGATAATTTTTAATGGTTTATTTAATTTATCCCATCCTTTAATGGTTGATTTTTTAGCAAAGCAAAGTGTTGCTCCTGTATCTATATATGCTAAAAGGTTCTTATTTTCAATGGTGACTTTTATGAATATTGCGTTAGGGTTATTCCTAACTAGAACTTTCTTCTGACTCATCTGAAGATTGTTCTAAATCTGTAAGGTATTCGATAATTTCTATGTCTGATGATTCAAAATCTATTTCTTCTATAGGTTCAAAACCACAATCATATGCTATTCTTAGAACTTCCTGCTTTTTATTATTAGTGTTTTTCTTTGGACATTTATTAGCATAGTGTCCTTCTTCATTACAGAGCCAGCATCGAAAGTTAGTTTTGCCTTTAGGGCAGTAATCTTTCTGAGTGGTTTTCTGTTTAAATTGTTTCCTGTTTCTAAAATATTTATTAGGATTTCTATACCTATTTTTTCTATATTCCTTATAGGGTATCTTTCGCCATTTTTTGTATTTTTCATATCTCCGCTTTTTCTTTATTTTTGGACGTTCATTACTACATCCGTATTTTCCTACTTTGTCTGTGGAAACCTCACAACAGAGGTTAATTTTTGCTTGCTCTTTCAATTTTTCTTCATTACAGGCTCGTTTATGCCATTCTTGTAAAGCTAGAATTCGTCCTCCTAACGTATCTGGTACTTCCTCTTTTTGAACTGCTTCATTAAATGCAGTTTCTACTTTTTGTGCTACTAATAATGGTAATTTAGAAAAGAATAATTTATCTAGGTCCTTTCTTACTGACGGAATAACCTGATAATAATGTATTTTAAATTCGCAAATGAATGATTCTAAATAACACATATTGCAGATTCTTAAATTCGTTAGGTGCCAAATAGCCTGATTACTTAGATGTGTTAGATGTGTCGCCTGGGTTATTTTCTGTTTTCATGTAATTTGCATATGGGTTTTCGTCACTACTGTAATCTAGAACTACTTTATCGTTTTCAATATGATCTTCATTATCTGATTCAATATTTAAAGCCATTAATAAATCATTTAGTTTATTTATATTTCGTCTATAGTTGTCATATTAGATAAGGTTTAACAATTGTTAGTTTGATAGGATTATTATGATTTTCCAAACATTTTTTCATATCTTCTATAGTAAGGTATCGAGTGTTTTCTAATTTAATTATTATTTCTTGAAAGTTTATTATTATTTCTCTAAGATTTTCTTCTGACAATATTTTATTTTCTTCAACGTGAGAGCTTTCAATAGCTTTTCCTTTATTCTGTATTTGTTTAATAATATTATCTATTATATTCTTGGCGGTTTCTAAATCAGAGTATAATTCTTTATGTTTTTTATTTACTTGATGTTCTAATATTGTTCTTAGATTTTTATTATTTTCTTCTAATGTGCTTATTATAACTCCTTGATATTCATTTAGCTGTTTCCCAAGTTTTTCGATTTTTAATGATATATTTTCTGTGGTCATTAGTACTTATAATAGTTTTTAAGATTTTGAGCATCATTTTGTAATTGTTCTGCTAGTATGGTAAATTTTCCCTTTAGTTCCTCTTGAATATTTACCAAAATTTACCATACTAGCAGAACAATTACAAAATGATGCTCAAAATCTTAAAAACTATTATAAGTACTAATGATCACAGAAAATATATCATTAAAAATCGAAAAACTTGGGAAACAGCTAAATGAATATCAAGGAGTTATAATAAGCACATTAGAAGAAAATAATAAAAATCTAAGAACAATATTAGAACATCAAGTAAATAAAAAACATAAAGAATTATACTCTGATTTAGAAACCGCTAAGAATATAATAGATCATATTATTAAACAAATACAGAATAAAGGAAAAGCTATTGAAAGCTCTCACGTTGAAGAAAATAAAATATTGCCAGAAGAAAATCTTAGAAAAATAATAATAAACCTTCAAGAAATAATAATTAAATTAGAAAACACTCGATACCTTACTATAGAAGATATGAAAAAATGTTTGGAAAATCATAATAATCCTACAAACTAACAATTGTTAAACCTTATCTAATATGACAACTATAGACGAAAATATAAATAAACTAAATGATTTATTAATGGCTTTAAATATTGAATCAGATAATGAAGATCATATTGAAAACGATAAAGTAGTGCTAGATTACAGTAGTGACGAAAACCCATATGCAAATTACATGAAAACAGAAAATAACCCAGGCGACACATCTAACACGATTCCATCTAAATCAAATAAAAGACGATTTAATGAATATAACGATGGTCAAATGCACTTTGATGAATATCTTTACAAAAATTATTACGTTCCTCGTAGGGGGGAGAATGGACGAAAATTCCTCACTCATACATTCCCAAACACTCTACAACAAGTTATAATAATTCAGATATTCTAGACATAGACTGTAGCACTAATCCATTAAAAGAATTAGAAGACTGGAAAAATCGAACAGGATTATTAATTCAAACCAACGAAGATTTAGAAAAACTTAAACCTAGTGAAATATTTAATTTTCTAATATACAAAACCACTGGAGCGGTCTATCATTATTTGAGTACAATGGATATTCCTGCAAAAACAAGTCTATACGGAGATGATGCTATAAAAACTTTTGAAAAAGTATTAAATGTTTTAACTTATGAATTTCTAGGAAGATATCCAAGAGAAAAAGAAACTAATGCAACCCTAAGTAATCAGGCTATTTGGCACCTAACGAATTTAAGAATCTGCAATATGTGTTATTTAGAATCATTCATTTGCGAATTTAAAATACATTATTATCAGGTTATTCCGTCAGTAAGAAAGGACCTAGATAAATTATTCTTTTCTAAATTACCATTATTAGTAGCACAAAAAGTAGAAACTGCATTTAATGAAGCAGTTCAAAAAGAGGAAGTACCAGATACGTTAGGAGGACGAATTCTAGCTTTACAAGAATGGCATAAACGAGCCTGTAATGAAGAAAAATTGAAAGAGCAAGCAAAAATTAACCTCTGTTGTGAGGTTTCCACAGACAAAGTAGGAAAATACGGATGTAGTAATGAACGTCCAAAAATAAAGAAAAAGCGGAGATATGAAAAATACAAAAAATGGCGAAAGATACCCTATAAGGAATATAGAAAAAATAGGTATAGAAACC